TCTTACACGTTCAAGATCTAGAGATCCACTGAATAAGACCCTATAGGTCCTGCAGGCTGTAAGCGGTACCATTCCTAACCAGGCAATCGCTACCAATGTATAATGTAGCCAATATTTCACGGCCGTAACGACACTGGAACACAGACCACCGATAACATCTCGCAGCGGTAATCTTCTTGGCATATCTGGACTGTATATGGGTGTAAAAGAAAATCGGTATCCACAGAGCTCGCAATACTCTTTTCTAGAGTATCTCATCCATTGAACGAGGCACTCCTGGTGTATCCATTTGATACTGCCAGTGCATATGCAGGGATGAAAGAGCGGTCGATCGGCCAAGCCCTCCGATCGACACACTCTACATATGTCAGCACTTAACATGTCCTCCGTCATGTTTACAACTGTTTGATATATCTTCCACTTTTATTAAGACCACCTCTGAACTCGCAGAATTTTAGAAGCCTGTAAAGGAAAAGAACGAGACGAGCTTTTAATTGCTAAAATTAGTGTCATGATAATTACGCGCAACGAAACTCATGTCGACAAACGGACGATGAACAAGATTTATTGTTACTATTGTAATTATTGTTATTATTGTTGTTATTATTATAATTAACGTGCTGGATGGCGGATGTATAGAAGAAGCAAATATGCCAAAGGTGTACAAGAGGGGCGCAAAAGATGATTATCAATGGCAGTCGGGGTGGCACGTTAACAAATAAGTGAAAGGGCGGCCAGATGCTCGTGGCAATCTCTGGAAAATCCGTCAACTCCGAGGCTAACTAACTGCGCCAATCGACGAAAAAAGTATGGCTGATAAAATGTTACTCGGCACTCGTACTACACGCACCCGAGGAATCACACCGAGTCCTCGTCATCATAAGACATAATAATTCTCACAGGTCGTTATTATACAGAGAAATAAGAATATCTCACCACAAAATTTATCCGCAACACTTTTTCTTATTTCCTCGCCTCCGTATTATCACGATCAAGGCTCTCCCTATTCGCCAAACTAATCCACAGGCTCTGGAGCTCGCATTAAAAATTTACCAGAACTCACCAAAGTCATCGACATTGCGTCAGAGGAGGGCTGAAAGGGGTAACAAATGAAATTTTCAGGTCACTAAGGGCGTAACGTGACGAGCGTAGTGGTAATGGTACGGGGATATAACGTCAGGTTGCCGGTTAACGACGGCCGAGCTGACCGTGACCGTAGACCCAATAGACCCGCGGGCTACCACCACCCCCCGCCGTTGTCGCCGTAAACGTCGTTCGAACGCTCCACGACGAGATGATGTGTCGCTTTCTCAGTGCTACATATTAATTTGCGCTCGTTACCCGAGCGCCTGCGCACTAATTATTTAAAGATCGCCGATTTGCGAATTAATTAATAAGGCCCGTGTGTAGGAGATTCGCAATAATCAGTGCCAGACCGAATGCAATTGCCCCCGATCGCCAAACGAATACGGCATGTCCCAGGTGTGGTTAGTCGTAATTTGGCGCGAAAATAGCAGCGGCTGAAGGTGAGCTTCGTCGTAGCCGGGTTCGCGTCTCCTCGGGACTTTTTCGTCGCGACTGGCAAACTAATTACCCAGCCGAGCTGTTATTTATTAGTCGACGATGAGCAGTGTTGATCGGTCGGATATCTCCCGAGACAACGGGACATGCGCTTTGACGCATGCCGCGGGCATCAGAGAGTCGCGCAAGTTTTTCAGCCTGGTTTTAGGATCCCCCGTGACGTCAGGATCGGATGACGACGGCTCACTCGAAGATTTGCTCACCGGTCTGCAACGTAAGTCCCTCGGCGTTAAATTAAATCTATGCCCATATTTATGGAATAATCGTGATGATGTGCTCGGCTACTCGGCAATTATCATTAAGCGCGTTTCCACGCAATTTTTCATGTCTTATTGCCTAATGTGTGCCTTAAAAATAAAAGACACAAGCGCCCACGCAACGTCTAGCACATTACTTTATTTACGTTTATATTTAAGCGTAAGCGATA